TGGATTGCATTGGTTATGGTGATGATTGTCGGCCTACTGTGTGGGGTTTTTAGAGAAAAGTGTCCAGGGACTATTGTTCACAAGTTTAACTTGAATCATTTGTGGTCCATGTCGGGGCAGTCAGGGGGCAAAACATCCCGGTGCACCACAAAGCATACAGCTGATCACATGACATATTTGCAGCTGAGGATGTTCCAACAACCTACAGGCGGATGCTTCAGTCGCAGTCTCAGCTGACGCTCAGAACACTGCTCAAGGTTTGCACATCCAGTCCGAGTGTGCAGAAGCCTTCCCCCCAACAAAAACAAAACTATGCCTGCTCTTCTGATCCCCAAAGGCACGTGAAGCTGAAACCGCGAACTTCCGGAAGAAAGAGCTTGCTTCTGGGCTCGTATTTTCAAAGCGCGACTGCTTCACATGCCTTCCCACGTTCGCAGTACCACGTTTGGTTTGGAGAGAGGAAGAAGCAATGCCACTGTTGTGCCGCTGCAGGAAGCTCGACCCTTCAGTCCATGAGATCGCTGCTGGTGGGCTGTGTGCTGCGGCTGACAAAGACTCATGCAAGCGCAACTGCCAGCCTGTTGCTGCCCACTTGTAGCCTCAGATCACCCATGCAATGCTTGGGGCAAGGAAGGTTGTTAGTGCGGCACAAGTCGGGTCTAATGGCTTCTGCTCAGCAAAGGCGTGGTGCGCAATGTGCCAATGGCTCCCAATGCCATGATCATAATGCGCCACTTGCCACCAAGAAGACTTTGGCCTCAGAGGCAGCATGTGGCCTACGTCTGTTTGCGGTGACACTGCTTAGATTCGACATATGAGACCAGACACTGACATCTCTCAAGCCTAGAAATCCGGTCACGCTGGCGTTAGATAACGTTCCCAGATTGCGCCATAATGCGCATTGTTCTTTGCGATGCTGCAAGCTCCTAAGAACCCGAATCTGAGGCAGTTCCAGCGAGGCTGAAGTGTATGCCTGGATCCCTGCAGCCCTGGCCGCACCACGGCCAATTTCCTTGAGCTAGGATCTTGCTGTTCTCCAGTAAATGGGCGGGTTTGCATAAAAAGCACGCGGACCAATTCATGCCAAGGCGGAAGCCCGGGGCACTGGGGCTGACAATCGATAGCCATACCATATTGTACTATCTTATAGTATATGGTACTATATTATACTATATTGTACGACTGTTTTTTGGACCCAGGACCTGATGATGGACAGCTCCAAGGAAGCAAAGGACGTCAAGCGCCTCGTCCCCGTGGGATGTGAGGTATGTATGCTTCACGACAAGCAAACCAAGGTATGTCTGGTTTGGAAAGCCGTAAATTGCAGAGTGCTTGCAAAGAGAGATTCACTCGCCGGTTGTTTCCGAATTCAGTTCTTGTAGTCTTTCCATTATCCCTATTTGACCCTAGTATACTATATAGTAGTTTCCATTTTTCCAGTATCCTATACCAGGAGCAGTCTCTGGGGGAAACATGCAGTTCGCATGGTGCCCGCTTCCTTCTTCTCAATTGCCATGTTGGACTCTTTATTTCGTTTGCTAGCCTTTCAAGTGAAAGGTTTCACAGTGTCAAGAGTGTCTTCTCCCTCAGAGCAGATGAAATCCCGGAAGCAGCTGGGGTGAGGAGTTGTTGTCAATGCTGTGGTTCGACAATGATGCCATTCAGTTTTCATTGGGTTCAGGTCTTCCTTGAAGCAGTGGGCCATGCGCTTTGACGAGCAGGCAGCTTTGCCGTCGTGTTGTGATAAGTTGTCGAAGACATCAGAGTGGCAGACAGAACGGTGAGCCCACCTTTTAGTTGGTTCGGGTCCAGATGACGCACTGAGTTTTTGCATGCTTTGTAGGGCTGTCATCAGGATAATGCCCAAAAGCCTAGGGCTGGCTGTCATTTGGAGGTGACTGCGTACTGCACTGCAGCGACCAACCCTGAAGAAGCCGGGCAACTGGCTGTGCCTGTTCGCAAGCGCACAGTGACCGGAAGCTTTAGTCACTAGCACGGGTTGCATGCTGAGATGTTGGAGCCCCAAGTTGAAAGCGCCTCAATACGACTCATACAACCCAGCTTGGAAGTCCTGAAAAACGGGACCGGGTCAGAGGCGGTGAGCTTGTTGCAGCCTCGGAACAGGTCACTCCTGGCAAGGAATAGAGGCCAGTAAAGAAGGTGCAGGAAGATCTGGCCTTCGCTGGCCGCTGATGGAAGCTGTTGGACTCTCACCGTGATATGCGAGGCTTACCAGGATGGCCTCACTGGCAAAGTAGTCGTTGCAGTCGAGATTCAAAACCAGAACTAAGAGGCCCCATTGGCAACCCTCAAGATAATTTGGTCGATGGTTGGTTGGGTGGGAACCCGAAGGTAGTTGACGGTAGCGCGGCTATGACCATGGTTGGTGCCCAACGGCTTCCGCGCGTCGCGGCGGTTCCGGGCGGATCCCCGGAGGATCCCAACTTGAACAAGGATAACGTGTCTGGATTTTGCTCCGGAGGACCCACCCTGGCTTCCGTGGGACGTGCTGCTGGGAGTGTTTTAGCTTCAGCGGGCCTGAGGGTCCCTCGAGGCTGGCAGTGACGAAGGTCATGCCATGCTTTCTCATCAGCACTGAGGTGCTGTTTCCCTGGATTTATGTGTAGATTTGTGTAGATTGTGCTTTTTGAGTAACATGTGTCTGTGCAAGCAGCTTTGTCATGTGATGCTCAACAGCATTTTCATTCATGTCTTGTTGCTGGACACGCCAAGTGTTGTCCCAGCCTTGGCAGATCATTTTCGATCTTGTAGAACGCGGTGTGGGTATGCCCTTGTCCCAGTCACATCAGCTTGTACACCCTGACCAGTGTTTGCGCACAGCAGACGCTCTGAGACATACCCCCCTCGCGTTGACGTTATCAACTTTACGTCCTGATGCTGCCTTGGTGCGGCCACAGGACAAATCCTCCGTCGCGTCAGATGCTGAGGTTACCGTGTTTCATTGATACCCACTGCAACATCTTCTTTCCCATCATGGACAATGCAGTCAGCGCAGGTAGCCGACGCTGCCAAGTGCTGCACATCAGCGCAGCTCTTTTGCGCAACCATGGAGGTTCTGCCGAGTGCCGCACTACGGAAACACGCCAGACCCGTAGCCTTGCATGCTTACAGTCCTTGGCACAGGCAGGAACTCCATCCGGGCGCATGGTCCTCGACCCGACCCCAGTAGTGCCTGTAATATGGGTCCACGACCATACACAAGTTCCTGTCGAAGTACATCTGAACAAAGGGTTTCAACAGAGCAGTGCGAAGTATTCGCAATCTTACTGGTTCTAGTTTCTTCCGGACCAAATACAAGCAAGAGATGCTGACTCACGGTTGCCTGACGAGGTAGCAAAATCCATGATAATGTCATCCAGTGTCAAGCCGCCTGCCTGTTGCCTTATCCTGTCCTTAGGTCCTTTTCGGCTATCTTGGCACCAGGTGGCTACAACAAAATTGTAGCAGAGATAGCTTTTCAATCTGTAAAGCTTCTTTCTTCCCTGCAATGCAGAATCAAGCTGCGAGCTTGGTTGAGGAGCCCCCACCCACCCTGCAGCCTACTTCATTCCAAATTCCAAGGGCCAGGTCCCCGGTCTCTCGGTAAGGTACAGTGTGGCGGCAAGCAGCGAGTTTTCTGCCACACAGCAGCAGCGGCAGTCAAAGATGCTCCTTGGGGTGGTTGTATTGAAGGCTGTGAACACTTTCGGGTCCCACGATGTTTCCTACTGATGCAGTATGACACAAACTCGTACGAACCCTAAGCTCGGAAGAGGCCACAGTTTTTGAAGCAACTACCTGCATCCGGCCGTCGTGAACGTTTCCCCGCAGCCAGCTTCAAAAACAGCTGATGCGTGCTCCCATATCATCATTATTAGCATCATTATTACCAGTGAATTACGATTACTCTTTGTATTGTTGGACTGTGCGGCTACCTGGCTGGCTTCCAAACCCTTACTGGCTCTTAGCTGGTAATGCAAAGTATATTACATTGGGATTATATATGGATCGGATTCCTTTATTCCCTACTCAGAACTAGTAAGTTTACATTGACGAGTATCACAAGGTTGCTATTTGGCACCCCTACAGGCCATAAGCCGCGAGCAGGATTTGGCATTGGGAGTTGAGAACACTTGCATGAAAGACGGAACGTACGCTTAATGGATCTGTTGCTGAAACCTGAGTCTAGTCCGGAAGCCGACCACAGTGGCTGGCTTAGGGCCCTACATGCTTCTTCGGGGCAACGAATAATTCATTCCCCCACCCCCCCTAACGTTGAATATTCCCAATATCTAATAATATACCACATAATGGGAGCATTGCATATTGGGGGGGTGGGGGGTTTAATATCAGGGGGAGGGGATTAATCGAGTAAACCTGCGGGGCGACCTGTTGCGCTTGAAGATGCTTCGTCTTGGCCTTATTCGAGCCATAGTCTAAACTCCTTAAAGGGGGGTTATATAGGGGATTATATAGGGAACTACTGTAGGGGATATTAAGGGGGATACCAGGAGTTTAGACTATAGCTCACTTAATAGTAGAGCATCGCCGCGCCTGCCGAGATGAGGTTCGTCCAAGTGCAAATCAAAGTCTATGGGGCTATAGAGCTTTATAGGGTTTAGGGTTTTATATTCGGGTTTGCGGCTTTATAGGGTTTTAGGGCTTTGTAGGGTTTAGGGTTTTATAAGGTGTAGAGTCTTTATCATGGGTTCCTCTACCACCCCCCTCTATACTACCCTCCATAGGTTCCCCCTTAATTAACCTTAATTAGCCCTAGTTATCCCTAACGTAGGGGAACCCCTGATTTTAGGGTTTAGGGTTGGAAAGGTTTAGGGTTACTGAGTGCGGGAGTGGCACCTATTCTCAGGGGGTGCTTGTCAAGCTCAGTAGAATGCAGGGAAAGAAATGACGTTCAGGGTGAAGACATGGTGAGGCGGTAGCAAGACAGGCCGGCAGCAAGCATCCATGCCATGCTCACGTCAAGAAATCTGAACAAAAATGGTTCAAAGGCCAGCTGGCTCTCTGTCAGGCGCTCGTGATAGTGGCTGTAGAGGTTCCATTCTACAATGCAGCCTACTAGAAGGCAACAAGATCCGTGCTTGCATTTTAACTTCCCATAGGAAATGCCTTATCCTACCCAACTGCGACAGTTTGATGCGGACTATCAGATGCGTAGGCAGGCATGGATTCCCCGCTGCTGCTTGACTTTGCAGCCTTTTCCAGCGGCGAATGGGCGGGATGGCGCTGCGAATTTTCGGCAACAGACGGCCAACATCTACCAGTGCCTGAGCGCCTTGTGCCTCCTGAAATGTTGGACTGGGGAGCAGCGCCTCCCGGAATGGAGGTTATGGTTTCGGAGCTGGTGGGCTCCACGCATAAACGACGGCAGCTGCAGGTAGTCCCAGAAGTTGGCTGATCTTCAGAGCTCACTCGAGTCTTAGTAGACCGATTTGAAAAGACCCCTACTGTCACTGGAGCTGCTGACACCTTTGCTCTAGACGTTTTGGATGAGACCGGGAACTACAGCTTGGAGTCCATTTTCGCCACTTCCAGCCCTCCCGGCAAAGATGACAGGGCCACCTCTTTCCCAGCTCTCGCCCGCCGAATTCGTGTCCAGACAGTCATGCGAAGACAAGAAGAACAGTGGCGGCTCACCGCCTTGCAGATGTCGGTGGAGCGGACGCTGGGTCACTTTTTATGGACTTGTTCCCATTACTGCTGGACCTTCTTGAAACTTGGCCCCCCCCCCCCCCGCCG